GTAACATTTGTCACATCATAATGTAAACATTGATAATACGCACGCAAAAAATCATTTAAGCCATCCAATTTGCAACGCGGATCAAAAACACAAGCAACTAAATAAATCATGGGAATTTCACTATAATAATGAAGCCATTTCATTTTCATTGCAACTACAGTATGTTGTAATTCAACATCATTTTCATATTCATCAAAAGTTCCGACAATATTAGTACACTCTACTAAAAATAAATGTGTAGTAGGATAATAAACACCAGACAAAGTATAAGTTGCATCATTAAAAACCTTTAAAAGATCTAAAAAATTTTGGCAAATATGCCACTCTTGTGGATATAAATTAATCTCAGGTATATTATTAGAAATGAATGCACATAATAAATCTTTATATGCTAAAGATTCACTAAGCAAGTGGAAAGTAGAATTCCAACGAGTTGGAACATCTCTTGGAAATCTTTTTGGCTTTTTGCCATTATCTCTACAAAATCTACCCCATTCTTTCATTTTTTTTTGGGTGTTTCCATAAAAATTGAATCGCCGTTTTTATTGGTTGAAGAAAAATATCAAGAGTTTTCAAACCATCTTGTACACATAAATTTAAAACATGACAAGCACATCTAATGTGAAAAAATTTTCCGCCAAAAGCGGGTTTACAAATATTTTCTAACTCGGCAATTGAAGCGGTATTTGCTGCGGCATTATCAAAACCAATTGAAAAAATTTTGTTAAGCAAATAATATTCTTCTAAAACTTGCCTAATTAGTCTATAAATATTATTTGCCGTATGATGATCATCGAAAACTCTAAATGCAATAACTCTTTTTTGAATAGTCCACTCGTCATCTATCCAATGACATGTTATGCCCATGTAAGAATGATTTTGCCAATGATCACTCCAAATATCACTACCTATATGCACGCATCCATTAAATTGCATAAAAAAGTTTTGTAAATCATTTTTTCCATTTTTGTAAAGATCTTTAATTACTCGTTTAGTTGTATTTCTAGAAACACGTTTTGCTTGTGGAGCACATGCTTTTTGTACAAATTCATTAAAACCAAATCTTTCTCCAAAATTAAATGCTAAATGCTCAACGGAAATAAATTTTCCTAATTCTTCCTTATAAGTTTTTTCATTAAAACGAAATAAAGGGGAAGTGTTAGGATTGACGTACCCGGAAATTTGTTGTTGCCCGATATCGATTCCCGTTTCGGTTGGATGTTTGCTCATAAGATGTCGTTTAAATGTTCCATATCCTTGTCCACATGTATATTTATATATTTTTCCACAATATTTACAAATTATATCATACCTTTTTTGACCGATATCAAACCTTTCCATTTTCGTGAAGTGATTCCAAATGTCGGATGTAAATTCCCGTTCCGCTTCCTTTGTTGTAGATATTTCAGCAGGAGGATGAAAACTTTCTTGCGTCGGGACGCGCTCCACATCGTGAAAAATGTTGATTTCATCATCTTGAAAATCTGCATATTCACGAGGATCAAAAGAATGATGGGATTCCGTCTCGATATTCTTACCTTTGCCAGTTGGCACTCGACTTCCACTTGCCATTTTTCGAATGGATTGAGAGAATTGAGCGGATTAATTGGGAGAATTAAGAAAGAATTGCGTGGATTGAGAAAATTGAGAGAATTTCAGAGAATTTGAGAGAATTTCGAGTATTGAGAAAATTTGAGACTTGAGAGAAGAGAATTGGAGAGAATTTGAGAGAATTGTGTGTGTATTGTGAGAATTTGAGAGAATTTATAGGAAAAAAATAGAAGAAAATTTAGAATTAAAAAAAATAAAACATAACCGTTGCAAAATTGCAACGGTTATGTGTGTTTTTTTTTTTAATTATAAAAAATGCCCGTTGGGGCGTAGCCGACCGTTGCCCCAACGGGCCGCACACCGCAGCCGCAAGGTGCTGCGGGCTACGGCGCAGCAGGGCCTGCACGTCTGCAGGCCCTGCTGCAAATAAATCTTTTTTTTTTTTTTTTTTGGTTGGGCCGTTGGCCCGTTCTCTCTGCGGGCTGGCGGGCTGCAGCATGCGCAAAGGCATGGCTCTGCACTGCGTGTCTTTGTAGCCTGCACCTCGCACTTTTTTTTTTTTTTTTTTTTTCGCGAACCGGGTCGGAACCGCGGTTCCGGGCCGGTTCAAATTTTCCCTGGAACCGGAACAGGGACCGTATGCCACGGGCCGGTTCCGGTTCCGAACCGCGGGCCCGGGTTTGACCGGGCCGGTTCCGATCCGGTTCCGGGCCAAAACCGGCCCGTGGCCACCTCTAAATAAGGGTCTGAAGTGCTCAATTAGTCTCAAATAAGGACCCGAAATACCCAAGAAGTCTCAAATAAGGGCCTGGGTCGCCGGGCGGCCAAAATTGCTTGCCGGCCGGCAAGAATGTTACTGATTCGGCACCGGAACAGTAACTTTTTTATTATTTTTCCTTTCTGCCTTTTTTTTCCTTTTCCTTTTCTTTTCTTTTTTTTTCTTCTCTTCGTCCGCCGGCAATAGCCGGGGCCGGCGGAGGTCGCCCACCTCAAGCGGAGGCGGCCCTCGCCGGCGTCGGGCAAGGGCCGCCCTTGCCTGGGGTCAGGCGAGGTCGGCCCGCGCCGCTTCTTCGGCGAGGGTCAAGCCTCGCCCGTATTTGGCGAGGGCTCGGGCCCGCCGCCGGGCGGCGAGGCTCGACCTCGCCAACGTCGAGCGAGGCCGGCCTTGCCGTTGCGGGCGAGACCGACCTCGCCGGCGTCGGGCGAGGCCGGCCTCGCCGTTGCAAACGAGACCGACCTTGCCCGGACACCGCGAGGTCGAGCCTCGCCCGGGCCGGCGAGGTCAACCTCGCCCGGTTCTTGCGGCGAGGTTGGCCTCGCCCAAAGAACGGCGAACCTCGCTAGATCTGGCGAGATTCGACCTCGCCATTGCTTCGGGCGAGGTCGGTCTCGCTACAGCGGCGAGGTCGGCCTCGCCTAACGCCGGGGGCCGAGCCTCGCCCGGCCACGGGCCAAGGCTTGACCTCACGCAAGGGCGAGGCCGACCTCGCCGGCGTCCGGAGCGAGGCCGGCCTCGTCGTTGCGGGCGAGACCGACCTCGCCCGACGCCGGCAAGGTTGGCCTCGACCTCGCCGTTGCTGGGCGAGGTCGGTCGAGCCTCACCGGCAACTGGCGAGGCTGACCTCGCCCGACACCGGCGAGGGCCGCCTCCGCCTTAGGCGGGCAACCTTCGCCGGGCCCGGCTATGTCCGGCGAAGGAAGAGAAGGAAAAAAAAAGAAAAGGAAAAAAAAGGAAGAAAGGAAAAATAATAATAATAAGTTACTTGTTCGGTCTTGGAACAATAACATTCTTCTTGGCCGTGAGTAATTTTGTCACCACGGCGACCTAGGCCCTTATTTGAGATTTTTGGGCACTTCGGATCCTTATTTGAGATTAATTGGGCACTTCTATTGCTTATTTGACACCATATTCACTTTGGATGCCGAAATTGAGAAAACACTTCCACTTATAGTACCAAAATGGAATTTTCCCTTACACTTATTGAAGACAAAGAAAGAGGAAATCTGAAGGGCCCACGCGCACGTCTCCCCCGCGTCCATTTTTCTCTCCACGTGCATGCGTGCCCACAAAAATTGGCAGGCGCCTCGCGAGAAAATATTGGTGCAGGCCCGGCCTCTCCACGTAATCATGGGCCGGCCCATTTAGTGGATGCCGCGTGTCGTCCATGGGTCCCACATTTACTCTCTCTCTCTCCATCTCATATGGGTCTTCTCTCTTCCTTTTTATCTCGTGTGTTTTGGCTTCCGAAGATGGGCGTGACTTCTCCTTAAAAACATGGGCAGTTTTTTCTGTTAGCTCCCACGAGAAAACCTCCCTCCTCAAAACCAGTTGCTATGCTTGCTGTATATCTTGAACTGAGTTTAAAAAAAGAAAAAAGGAATCTTGCACTCCATGGATGAGGCTTTCCCGGCTCTCGGTGTTGCATTTCGGGGTTTCTTTCTTGAGGTTTCGCAGACTCGGGCATGTTCTTTTATCTGTTGGGCGCTACGGGAATATCTCTGTTTTTCATTACATGGGAAAAAAGGTCTGGTTCTGTATGTGGGCATTTGGCCTTGTTGGGGGTAAAAAAAAAGTGTCTTTATTTGCAAAATCGAGAATAGGAGATTCATTTCTGAGAGGAAAGGAAGATTCATAGGAGTGAACTAAAGATAAAAGTTTGTCTTTTGTTTTTTATTTATGTTGATGGAAACCAATGGTTTAGGTGGCTGGTGGCGTGATCTTTGGAGGTATTTGTGAACTGAAGATTCGTTGATGGAACCAGATGGAGATGGAGAGAGCCAAGCTTGAGAAGGAGCAGAAGAGGGCTCGAGGATGAGAGAACGGTGCTTCTCTTCCGCCAAGAAGGAGCTCCAATTGCTCGCTCTTCAACAGCAGCAGCAACATTCATCCAACAAAAGGAGCGGCAGCGGCGATGAGGGTTGAAAGTTGAAGGATTTTGAAAAAAACTGAAAGGAAAAACTCCAGGTCACGCAAAGCCTTCGCCCCCAATTCAAAAATTGTTTCGATTGTGTGTGTTTCGTTTGACCGGACGGCGGCTCTGCAACAAGGAAGAAAGCTCCGACCACCAACCCAACCATGGCCCCTTCGAAGGTGGAGACGCTGTGTGACTTGTTCGATGGAGGTTTGATAGCTTTGGACCGTGTTCTTACAAAAAGTTCGAGTCTTTCAAAATGGGCATCGGGAATTGGTTGGTACTCCATTGATCGGTTAAATTCTGCTCGTACTCATTGGATAAATTTTGCTCTCTTTATGCTTGTTTTTTTTTTTTTTTGGACATACACTTAATGGTGGAGAGGAATCACAATATGTGTGTCTGCTTATTCCATGAGATATCGAGGATTTCTAAAAAACAACCACCCTTTGCTCAATTCGCAGTGCATGCTGGCAGACATTTTAATGAATTTTGTGTGGTATGTTCTGAAATTTTTTAATCCACTGAAAAGTGAAAAGTGGTATGTGCAAGTCTAATACCAGTGGAAGCCGCAAAGCTTTTACTTCTATTTCAATTATTGAAAAACGGGCATTTGCAATCATGGTGTTTTACTTTTTGTCTCGGTTAGTTCTCTGTAATTGGATGCTTTTTCGTGTTTGATATATCTAGGAGACCAAGGTGATTTGTGTAGTACCCTTCCTTTTCATTCAGATGTAAGTTCTTTGGCTGCATTTGATGATTGTGTGTAAGTTGACTATGAGAAGTTGAATTAGTTTGTGAAAAAGATTCATTACCCTACTGTTGTTTGCACTTTTCAGCTAGATCGAGAGTTAGAATTCTATAACTAAGACAGGCCAACGCAAGTTGGTTCTTTCTTGAGGCATAGATCACCAACCACCAACCAAGATAACTCATGTTGGATCTGTGAGATGAGGTATCGAATGTTAAAGCTACTACTAGATTGTGTTTCCTGAGTATAAAATGCAGGTACCTGTGTAATCTGCCTTCTAGTTTTTGGAGTGCTTTTGGTGTGGACTTTATGCAGGAACATTCACCATACTTTGGATCCTTGACCCACATAATGCAATACAAAGGGGAAAATGATGTTTTGTTGCTAGCTAAACATCTCTAAACTCTCATCATCATATTGAAAGCTAATTTATCAATTCCCTATGATTGGCCACCATTGTCCAATTTTTTTAAAAGATTTTTAATCCTTGTACAGATCTTTTGTCCATCTTACTCTAATATTTGGTTCAAGTCCATTCATCAGTGATTTTTCTAATTTATCTTGCCTTATGCTATCAAAATATTCTAAATCTCCTTCTCTTTCATACCTGTCTTTTTTCTTTTGTTGTTTTATCTCTGACTTTATTGGGCAGGAATCTGTTTTTAGATAGAAGATGGCAACCCCAGAAGAAAACAATGATGTGAAAACTCTTGAAACACAGCCCAACAAGCGGAGAAAAAAGAAGTCCATCATCTGGGAACACTTCACAATAGAAATTATGAGTCCTGGATGTAGAAGGGCGTGCTGTAAGCAGTGCAAGCAAAGTTTCGCCTATGGCACAGGCTCAAAGGCCGCTAGCACCAGCCAGCAAAGTAAGATGTGATGAATCATTGAGTGAACTGATCTTGTCAAGTGCAGAAATTTTAGAATTACCTAAATCCATTGGGTATTTGAAAAACTTGAAAATTTTGAATATTGCTTACTGTACGAAACTGAGTAGTTTACTCAGTACTATTAGCAAGTTGATTAAACTGAAGTATTAATTGCCTCATTCTGCCGAAGTCTGGGAGGGGATGTTCCTATAGATAGGTTGTCTTCGTTGAAGATCCTTCGATTAAGTTATACGTGCATTTATGGCTTCCCCAATGCAACTGCAAAGCTTTTTTTGTCTTGAAGAACTTGATTTAAAGGACCGCAGCATGATTCAGTCGCTACCGAAGCTTCCTACCAGTTTAACAGATCTAGTAGTCAACTGTCATCTTTGCACATTGCCTCAACTTTCTCATCTAATCCATCTAAAACAGCTCAGTTTTCATGATTGCAGAGGCCAACCTTATCTCTTTCGTCCTTTGACAGAGAAGGAACAGATATTTAACAGTTTCAGATTCCTTTTTGCAAAGAGGGCATGTCGACTCAGGTGCAATCTTCCTTCTGAATAGGTTTTCTCTTGTGGGTAGGGTATTTTGGCACACCCTTCACCTAAATACCCTTTCTTTGGGTTGAGTCTTTAGATTCCATGCCTTAGTCCAGAGGGCTTTTGGAATTTGGTAGGACGATGAGGCTTGATTCGCTTCATGCTTAGTCTCAATGTCCTGGAGTTGGTTGGAGCCACTTTTAACAACGTAGCCTCCTGCTTGGTTGCGTGTCCAGACTAGCTTGTCTTCCGTCGGTGTTGTTAAGAGTGGGATATCTAGAATATCATTTACTATATGCTCATCAAAAAGAGAGAGCAGCATGTACTCATTCCATTGCACTTCCTTAGTATTTCTATCACCACATTTCAGCCGGTATATTCTTGAGCGCATACCCCAGTACATTTCTCCTGGTTTCCACAGATCTTCGATTTGCATTTTCAGTCGCTGCATTTTGTCCCAGTCATGCAAGCTCTGCTCATTTGTTGAATCCTAAAGCTCCCTATTCAAGCAATTGATTGGACTATTAGCATTAGAGAACTTCTGCTTGCTCAACTTCTTTAGGGCCTCTATTACTTTCTGTAGTTTCTTCAGAAAGTGTCATTTCCATGCCTGGAATATTCCACATTGAACTTACTAGCTGACCACATTCATAATCTTCAAGCCAGCATGCTTCTAACTTCATTTCTCTATTTCTTTTTGCAGGTTCCGCTGAGAGAGTTAGCAAGATAGGACTATGGTCCGAGCCTATAGCAAGTAATGCATATGCTTCCACTTCTGGGATGTCACTCTCCATTCTACATTGCATGGAGCTCTATCTAGTCTTTCTTGCACAAAGGCATCCCCAATCCTATTATTTGCCCGTGTAAATGCGCATCCTTTGCATTCAAGATCTATTAGAGAGCATGCATTTATAATGTTTAATGTCTCAAAAAGCCACTAACCTATGGTGCTCCACCATTTGCCTGCCTACTTTTTCCCGGTGATACAAAATTTCATGAAAGTCCAGTCCCCCCCAAAACCAAATCGAACGAAGCTGGTTGTGGGACTAATTATTGGAGCACGCACAAAGGGAATTCTCATATGTTTTCCACTTTCTGTACAAATTAGGTCAAAATTTTCATTTGTGACTAATTCCATTGTTAGTGCTACCCTATCATTCCGTAAAATTGCTAATCCCCTTGTAATTCCATTTGAATTCATCACTGCATTGTTCTGGAATTGGATTTGTTTCAAGCTTATACCACAGGTTCTTGATTCGAAAAATAATGACTGGCCTTTGCATAGCCCCAATGCTAAGATTTTCTAGGGCATGCCCAACCCCTAACAATTCCAGCATAAAATTTTCATGGGAATCTCGGTGGCTTATTAGTGCTAGCCACCAAAGCCCATATCTTAGGATCCTCCAAAACCTGAATTGGAGTCTCCAAAAGTTTGGTCTCATTTAAGGCAAGAGAGTTCGCCTTTTGAGAAGTGTAAGGAGTATACATTTACTGTGTTTTGTTTCCACCTGTTTTCTTCCCCTTGCTACATTACTTTTGGGGGCCTTTTGAGCTGCCTTCCAGCATTGTAGAGTGGCTTGGAGCTGTTATCAGCATCAAGCTCTTTTCTTAGTGTTTGTATGGACCGATGCCACCTTTTCCAATTGCTTCTATCTTCTCGGCAAAAATCTGTGCTGACTTTTTCAGATTGTTCCCACTACTAGGAACCAACGGATTCTATCCCCTAGGCTCCTAGGACACCATTTGTAGGGTGGGGGTAGGAGTTTCTGGAATAATCTCATCATCTATGGTTATATCGTCTGGTTTTGCATAGAACAACTTCCAAATAAGGCCAAACAACTAGGATCATTAGTTTCTAACCGGTTCTCATCATATTCTTCTTCCTCACAGAACTTAGCATAATGCCCTATGCAACCACATGCATAACAAAAGTGCGGTAATCTCTCATATTAAAACTCGACCCATAGTTTCTTTCCTCCTTGGCTGGAAAATTTCGTGGTTTCAAGGGGGATGAAAGATCAATTCTTACTCTAGCTTTTCCACCTGTATAGGAGCTAAACCCCTTTGTATCAATTTTCACTTTAGTTACCAAGCCACGTCGCTTGCTCTTCACCTTATGGTTTCCTCCGAGACCCAATCCGCAGTAATCAGTGCACTTGCACCCAGAACTCGTAATGTGTGTAATCGTAACGGTACTGTGAAGTAGTTGGCATCCATAGTTTAAGCACCAAAAGATTGCTAGAGAAAGACCAAGGCTTTGTCTCAAGAATTCTGTTCATTTCATTTTCAGACTTAAAGGTAAAGGCTAAAGTTCTCGAGTCTACCCAACCAGAGGTAACTGAATCCACTCTCCATGCCCTCTTCATAGTGTTTTGGAAGGCTTGGAGATTGATATTGGGGTTGGAGAACAATTGCCCAAACATGGTTAGACGACATTCTTATATTCTCTCAGTCGGGACCATACCATCTATCTCTGCCAGGTCTTTTTTCTAACCAAAAATTGCCCAATTTTCTGCAGAGGATAGTAACTCGAGAACCTAAGGCATCTAATTCTTCCACTGAAGATGCACGAGAGGCAGACAACTTACTTCCTGTGAGAAAAGTACAGCAGAAGCAGCTATTCCTGTAAATTCGTTCTCGGGTTGTATCCTGATATACAGTAATGGCAAAATACTGTCCAAAGACAATGCAGTGCTCTGGGAGGCTGATGGGGTAGCGGGGAATTTTGGGTTTGATATTTGGGCGAGGATTAACCAGGGTTGTTCCTTACTGCATCAGAAGCGAGGACTTCCAACTACAACTATAATCTTGACATAGGAACAGCTCAGTAGCAATTTTAGGAGTAAAAATTGACTTGGGAGCTACTAGTCATGCTCTTTATTATCATTTGCACATTAGTTGATGCGTGTCTCTGAATTTTGATGAGAGAAATCGTGCTCTTTTATTTTCATTTACACAGAAAATACCAAAATGATGGAGAACACATATGCCCCATGTAGAATTATGAAGAATATTTGCATGACAGCAGCACGACAGAGATCGGATTCTGGAGATTGTCCGTGTTTCCTAGTAAATGTAAATATAGCAGGTAAAGTATCGTATTCATTTGAGAGCACCTACTTCACATTAGTATTTTCAGTTTGGCATGGGGCTTTTTGTGTCGATGTCTTATTGTTTTCCTCTTATTTCAAGGACCCTTGGGGAAATTGGTCGGCAACGTGAAGGTGATGCTTCAGCATCATCTGGCTTGTGATCCTGGTAGGAAAGAAAATAGATAAGAATGCCTTGAATACATTGCATGTCATTATAGCCGTCACTCACGGAGTAAGACTCTTCATCCTTGACATGATATGAATATGTTCTTATGCAGAGTATTACCATTTCCCATGTTCTATTAAGGTTGGTTTCCAAGAGCACAAAATGTTTCTTATGTGCTCCTTTCATTCATTCATGCATAATAAAAAAAGAATTTCATTACTTGTTAGGAAAAGTTCCACCCAAAAACATAAGCTATTAGTTAGAGGTAGACTGCTTGCATATAACCCCTGTTGAAATCCTTTATTCAACCAACGTGGAATAATACTTTTAACAATTGATTGATCATGGTAATTACTCATTTCTGTGTGTGTTTTGTTATTGGTGGAGACTGATATCATTGAAGATAAAAGGTTCATAGACAAAGAGCCCAAACCGAGGGCAATTACTGTCTCTGTGGTTTTGATTGTATAATTTAGTAGCTTATTCTGTCATGGATCTATATTCCACTTTGTTTGTCAATTGAGGTGCTAATACATAGATTGCTGAATCTGATGGTGGATTTATGGCCTTGATCCTGTCAAAAGTAACATCCTGTACGGTGGAAAAACTGGCAGGAATCATGTTGCGCTCTATTTTGTTTTTCGTCATGCCTATGTCCATCTCACATGTCCGTACCATCAGTCATTGTCTTTACATATCGAATTTGCATCCTTCTGTTCGTTCTTCACTTGGTGATGACAATTTCTTATGCCCTTGATGCTTTAAATGACCAGGAGTTTCACTGTAATTTTTGACAATGGTGTAAGATCCAAACCAAATATCTGGGATATGGATGCAAAAGGGACGTTCTTTAAGCCGGTTACATTGCGTCATGCTTTATGAACGGGAGCTGTCCATCGTAGTAATGAAAACAGTTGCTTTACTTCATTCCTGGGACGGTTGAGAGCTGATATGGATCCATGAATGCCCATCTTTTCTTGAAGTATTACTTAATCAAATCAGAATACTTTCTTGCAAATGCCACCGCAGCAGAACAGAATTGGAAGTTCAACCTACTAAATACGAGAGGACCGCAGTAATGACCAACTACGGTCCCAGCTAGAAATGTCTACTATTTCGGTTGTAATGATACATAGTAAACTTTTTTTATTTTGAAGGATAGTAATTTTCCTCAAATTTTGGTTATGTCACTTGTAACTTTTTCATAAATATCAAGATTTGGGCTCGTAAATTGTACTTTATGTTATTTATAAGGGTTAATACCCTGAAAAATCCCAAACTGGTACACTTGTGTTATATTTACCTCAAATTAATTTTTTGACCACGAAAAACCCCAAACTGGTACACTTTTGACAAATTTACCCTAAACTAATACACTTGTGACAAATTTACTCTATGTTAGTTTCTATTAAATTTTATTATCAAATTGCTGAGTTAGATGACACGTGATAGTTGACTAATGTACCAAGTTGGGATTTTACTCTCCGTTTGTCATTGTAGTACCGGTTTTGTGTTTTTTTGTGGTATTAATTCAATTTAACATAGGGTATATTCATCACAAATGTATCAGTTTGGGGTTTTTAATGGTCAAAAAAATTAGTTTTGGGGTAAATTTATCACAAGTGTACCAGTTTTTGATTTTTTGTAGCCATTTGGGGTAAATTTATCACAGGTATACCAGTTTGGGGTTTTTTGTGGTAAAAAAATTAATTTGGGTAAATTTGTCACTGGCGTACCAGTTTAGAGTTTTTCAGGGTATTAACCCTATTTATAAACATGCATATAAGGATTGCAATTAATCTGCTGTGTAACAAAGAGTAAGAATACCTGTTAATAGTTTTCCCTTAAGATCCTTAAGATCCTACTCCTGAATCGACCATATATACCCAACGATACATATCATTATTCATTAGCACCGCTCTGTGTCAGCCAGAAAGTTCGAAGCCCACAAACTTCGAGAGACACAACCCTTAACTATAGGAGCCTAGCTTCATGTATGACTTAAAGAGCTCCTCATCTTCATTTTCTGACGGAAGCATTTATTTCATATCTTTTTGCTATTAGCCTTATTATCTGCTACATGGTAGTCTAGGTAGTGGTACTACCTTCATCCTGCTTGTGATGCCCAACTCTTTTCGAACTTCTGCGAACTTAGACTTGTTAATTGGTTAATGACTATGGCTGCAAATAATTGTTTGGGCTTCCTGACTCAATTAGCCATATGGTAAATTTGTTGATCCTTGACTTGAGAAATTGCTTCAGTCTATATAAGACTTTTAGAAAGCATCGGATCCCATGTGAAATTGTGGTGCCTGTCATTAGGCACAATGAGGTTCCCAGACGGTATCGATCATGCCCGAAATGATGCCTAACTCACTTTGGTTTTCGTTTTCTCCTTTTTCCTTTAATTTATGGGCCACGTCATATATTGTGTTGCTTGGCTTCCTTTCAAGAATTGCAAATTGGCACCAAAAAAAAATTATAAACAAGTGGAACGTGAGGTCCCATAACTAAACTGTTTGTCATTAAAATGGGTTGCTTAATTGTAAAACCACTAGTATTAAGAACATGTGGGCCGAAAGTTAAAGAAAAGAAGCAAGAAAATGAGTACCCTCGAGTAAAATTGTTTAGTTTTGTTATTTAGTTTTTTTTTTTTTTTTGGTCAGAAGTTTTGTTCTTTAGTTCATAAGTTAATAAAAATCAAATTATTGATGTGCTTGCGAAAAGAAAGAAAGCAAAATTTCTTAGAGCTTAGAAATAAGCTTATAAAATCAAAGACATCTCATGTGCAGATCTAAAATACATATAATGAATCCATCTTATTAGATAAACGCATAGTGGTGCTCCTGAGCTCTTTCAATGTGTTGTTGACATGTGGTATCCTCCACGAGTGACATCTTTCTTTACCTTTTTTTTAAAAAATTTCCTTTTATTTTTTCATTTTACTTGAACTAAAAATTTTCCATCTTAATTCAAGGGGCATACAATTCCTTTCAATATCACGAAAGTCCCATGTTCTTATGACGATCGAGTATGATTATGTCGGTTGACCCCATTCGCTGGACAATGCCTAGAAGGCAACGGCTAAGCATGCGCAGAGGAAGAAAACTTTAAGTGAAAAGGAAAGTTCCGCTTGGAGCAGTGAATGGAATGCTGATCATTCACTGAATAATGCCAAGAAGGCGCAGATCCAGCACTTTTCTAAATCCAGGTCAATTGACCCGTTTATTTAACTAATTACTTCAATTAGATTAGTTCATTGTAATCATTATCAATGAAGAAATGGTGACTCCTGAGAGCCAATAAGAGTAATTCGCTGTTTGTTAAGGCTATCGACAGTTCGGCTCGGATTTTTAGGAAAATTAAACCTAATTGAACCGTTTGAGTGTGCACCAAAGACTCGATTTGGTTTGGTTCGGTCCAATTCGATCTTTTAATTTTTCTTTTATTTTAATATTAAGAAGAGGTTTAATGAATAGAGAGAGATTGTGTAAATTGTAATATTAAAAAGAGATGCGATTTTCAGTTCGATTTGATTAATATCATAACCGAAATAAATAAAAAAAACAAACGGTTATTTTTTCATTGTCCAAATCAAAAGCGAAACTAATCTGAAAATGTATAGAATTTCGGTTCGATTTTTTGGTTCTGTTCTGACACCCTTACTAATTGTTAAGGCTATTAGGGAGCATACATCGAGGATCACAAGAAGGCAATGAGGAAAGAACTATTTTAAGTCAATTACCAATCATATTCTTAGTCCAAATATGAAGGCATCTCCAGATTCTCAATATGAACCAAAGAAATATATGAAACGACAAGCTTAATTTGAGAAATTTTTGAATTATCTGTCAATCCCTATCTGGCACTTCATCTTCCTGCTTTCCCTTCCTTTTTACCAACAGTGCTATAAATGTGGAGCGAAGACCGTCGGAGTAATCATTTCGTGCTCAACTTTTATACTATCACTATATCGAGGATCACCAGTCAGCATGTATTATTCATTTATGTAATGAACATCTAGTCTAGAACTATAAACTCTAATATGTATATGCAATGGTAGTACTCCTGTTTTTGTTTATTTTTAGTGCTTCCTTGTACCATATTTTCTTGAGACATATGTATATATGTACGTGTGTGGTTTCTTTTTTTGTTATTCAAAATTGCATGTAGCGGAGAGATTAGTACTTCATTGATGAAATTTGGGGCTTTGATGAAGCTGGCGAAGTGTTAGAGGAGTCATAGATAAGCGCTATCATAATCAAATTTGAGTGATAATTTTCTCTTCTTTTGAAGAATGATTCGCTTCCTCCATTGAATCTCTTTGGTTATGTTTATTCCCTTATGCAAATTCTTTCCGATTCATATTATCCATGAGGATGCTCGACTGGAAGAACAAGTGTTTCAACTAACCCATATGTTCTCTTCAGGAAATCCCTTAAGCTTAGCTATCCCAGTTTCTTAACAATTCTTTCCATGGTAAATCATGAGTATATTTTTTATCAACTGCTCTATTTTCTTCACAAGATTCCCTAGCCATTTTGGATTTCTTGATCGGACTTATGTGTCAAACTTGACCAAGCGCGGAATATCAATCAAATTCATTTTGTCTGGAAAAAATCATGTTCCGATTTTATGTTATGTTCATTCAAGCGTCATAATATAGCAGTTGAGGCCCGAAATGTATGTGTAGTTCTAGTCGATGCGCTGGACCAAGGTAGAGCACACAAGCCCCCCAGACAATTACTGTGTAGATAGGTTTCTTGAAGGTTCACATGCCTTCACCCCAATCGGGAAAAGATCTCGAGAGATGGTCCACAAAACGCGTAATGATGGTCATGCCATGATGTAGACAAAGCAAAGTGGGTCCCCCCTTGTCACTCTCTCCAATAATTCTCCCTTGACATTGTTTTTCCAAAACATCAGGCGGACAATTCGATGAATGTACTGATTGATGTGGGTGCTTTAAGGCTGCGCATGACAACCATTCTGTGCCCGGGAACAGATTCTGATCAGAAATGATTCTTTTTGATTCTGTGCCCAGAATTGATTCTGGGCATTTTAAGGCGTTTGTTAACGGCCCAAAATTCCATCCCTGGAATAAAAAAGAACGTAAATGCGTTTGGTAACGCCACAAAATTTCTTTTTATTAATAATATTTTTAAATATTTTAATATTTCTTTCTTTTTTTCTTTTTTTTTCTTTTCCTCCTTCTTGGCCATAGCATGCTCGCTAGGCCATGACCGGAAAAATATTTTTTTATTAATAATATTTTTATTAACAGTATTTTTCTTTTTTTTTTGCCATGGCACAGTCGGGCCATGACCTAAAATATTTTTTTATTAATAATATTTTTTATTACAATATTTTTATTAAAAATATATATTTTTATTTTTTTTTGCCATGGCCTGGTTGCCGGCCATGGCTGGTAAAATATTTTTTTTATTAATAATATTTTTTATTAAAATATTTTTATTAAAAATATACATTTTTTTGGGCCATGGCCTGGTTGCCGGCCATGGCCGGTAAAATATTTTTTTTATTAATAATTTTTTTATTAAAAAAATATATTTTTATTTTTTTTTGCCATGGCCTAATCACCGGACATGGCTGGTAAAATATTTTTTTATTAAAATTTTTTTATTAAAAATATATATTTTTCTTTTTTTTGGCCATGGCCTGATCGCCGGCCATGGCCTGTAAAATAATTTTTTTATTAAAAATATACATTTTTATTTTTTTAGCTATGGCCTGTCGTCGCCATGGTACGTAAAATATTTTTTTATTAATAATATTTTTTATTAAAAATATATATTTTTTTTTTTGCCATGGCACTGGTCACCGCCATGGCGGGTAAAATATTTTTTTATTAATAATATTTTTTATTAAATTTTTATTAAAAATATACATTTTTATTTTTTTTTAGCTATGGCAGGTCATTTGGCCATGGCCTAAAATATTTTTTTATTAATAATATTTTTTATTAAAAATATATATTTTTCTTTTTTTGCCATGGCTCGGTCACTCGCCATGGGCAGTAAAATATTTTTTTTATTAATAATATTTTTTATTAAAATATTTTTATTAAAAATATATATTTTTCTTTTTATGGCCATGGCCAGTCGGCCATGTCATGGCCGGTAAAATATTTTTTATTAATAATATTTTATATTAAAATATTTTATTCTCGTCGTCATCCGAGAGGCGGTCCTCGGGCCGGA